TTCTACTTATATTCTATTGGACAGATTTTGTCATATCACTACACTGAAAATGATGGTCTTAATATATTATTGGAGGAATTTTGGTGGTATAAAAAGTAAAGCATTCATCTGCTAACAGCAACGTTAGTGATTTAAACTAAAGCAATGTTAAGGGATTTAAACCAATCTAATAGCTCATCAGAATAAAGATCTGCCAATATGCTTTCATAAAGGCTACAGACACAAAATCTCTAATACACTAGTTATACTTTGTTAGATAGGATTGTTTTGAGTTGAAATTGACTACATGGCACCTAACTACACCAATGTATTTTGAGTAATGTGTCTAGTTACAAGTCTGATAAACCATCCTACAGGGGAGAGGAGGAAGTGGACCAAGACTGGCTGAGCACAGAATTTTTGATGCAGTTTGACTAAAACTGCCACTACAATGTGTTCTGAAGATAAAAAGGCTTTAACAATCCTGTGTTGTAATTTTACCAAAAAAAATTATCGGTAAATAAAAAGTTGCTGATATAATTATTACCAACTTGATAACCATAAAAAAATAGTTTCTCTGTGACCTAGACTGGGAACCCTTCAATTAGAAAATAAACTTTTTAAAAATAGCAACTGAAGTACCTCACTTTTGCCACACTGTGTCACTCTTACCATACAAGTACTATATGAATTCTTTTTTTATTGCATAAATTCTTGTGTTACTGTATAAGAATTATATAAGAAAAGGGAAAATATTTTTATTTCATTTATCATTTATTTTCCACCTAACTAGAAGCACACCTAAGACAAATTCTGATCTTCTTCTTTGCTATAAATACCTAGCTGTTTCTTGCATGCTGTCAAGTTAATTCCAACTCTATGATATTGGTATGTGTCATTGAATCACTTGCAACTCACAGTGACCCTATGTACAACAGCTCTGCACCTGGTCTATCTTAAGCCAACCTCATCGTCTCTGACACAATAACCGCAGTTACTGAGTCAATCCATCTCGTCCAATATCTTCCTCTCGTGAGCTGTCACATGACCCTTCTAAGCAGAACAAGGTAAAAGTGTGCCATGGAATTACGAGGGTAGAACCTTTATGGGAACAGACCGTCAGGTCTTTTCTCTCTCAGGGCCACTGGTGGGATCAAAGTACCAAACTCCTGGTTAACCACTATGACTGGTTCAGTACCTGGCAGCAGTGTTGCAAAGTAACTGGTAGGCTAGAGTGAGACCATGCTACTCACAATGTATTCAAAACTTTTTAAAATAAAAATTTACAAAATTTATATAAATCAGAACAAAGTTTAGACACAGTAATCTTATAAACAAATTTACCAACGTAAACACTAGTATTGTAAAAACAGAGGATAACTAGTAAGATGTATGTAAATGTCTAAAAGGAGAAGAAATAAAAGGGGGAAGAGTGGAAATCACTGGGATAGCAGAGTTAGTTTAGTAGGCAGAGTGGGAGAGAGGGGTCTAAAGAACAGGAAAGATTCACTGAAGACTCAAAAAGACGGGATGATGATAATAGGTATAGATCAGTAGTAATTTATTATAAATACAAAGCATATGAATGATTGCATGAAACACAATGTAAATGAAAGATTGTATAAAACATAATGTACATGAAACGTATATATATGAATGAAACACAATGTGTATATATATGCATTAGTGTATACAAACCAATAAAAGTAAACATTACCAAAAAAAGTACATATATATAAAAAAGAGTAATTAGGCTTTATGTGACAAATTTAGACAGATATTTTACAGTAATTATCAAGTAAAGTAATAAAGAATATCTGTGGCCTAAATGATAGTAAATAATAGAATAAGGACACATTTTGACATGAATTAAAACCTTGGTGGTAGAATGGCTGAGAACTTAAATCAATCATCAGTTGTTCCATGGAAGAAAAACCTGGCAGCCTAAAAGTTAGAAACCCTTTAGGACAGTTCTGTTCTGTAACAGTGGATCTCTATGAGGACTTCAGAAATAAGTATTCCACAGGATGAGAAAACTACATTTTCATTGATTGATCTTTATGTTAAGAAAAACAATGAATATGTAAAATTTTTAGGCTCAGCTCTTCATAAATTTTATCTTAATTGTAGAGTACAATCATACTATTCTGATAAGTGAAAAGATACAATGTAACAGGAGTATCATACACAAAATAAGTCTAAACAAAAATTTAGTAAATTGATGAACTGAAATAACCAAGTATATAAAATCTGCAAGAAGAATTCTGACTTTGCCATACTAACAACCCAAGTTTCTAAACAGTTAATATTCTTTGCTTGCTAAATTTCCAAAGTTTACGTGATTAAAAAACCCCAAAACCCCAAAACCAAAGTCTGAGTGATTTAATAATGTGGTTTACTTACAATGAGCACTTTGCATTAGTTATTATGCAGAAAAACCATAGCTGAAATGGAAAATTAATGAAGAAAATTTAATAAGCTATATTTAAATGTAATTGTAAGAGAAAGGAAAGAGTGGCAAACATAAGGACTCGCAAGTGAAATTGCAGTATTTACAAAAATAATAACATTTTCCTCATTTTAATTGCGTGACTGGCATATGTAAAAGATCATTTCAGGTTTTGTTTTTGTTTTTAGAAAAGTGTAATTCTCTGAAAATAAAATCCTAACATAAAGTGTTATCTCCAGATTTTAAAATTCTTATAGGGATCACTGTTAAGTTTCTGATACACTAATCCCTGAAACAAAAATAATGATCCACAATGTTTTAAAAAAATGTTTACTTATGTGATTTTCACACTCAAATTACCTGTAAAATAAAGTCAAAGGAATCTAACTATATTTAACTAGCCAAGTTATACAAGGTTCATAAATTATGACTTGACCATTGGCTAAGTACTCAGTTTTATATGAAACAAATTATTTTTTAATTTTAAAACATGTCAAATTCCTCCAGCCTTGAAATTAAGTGACCTTCAATATTTTAAAGAATTTACTAAATGTCAGTTATTCTTAGTTAACATATACTGCTATGTGTTTTGTTAAAGAATGACTGACTTTTCAACTAATTTTCAGAGATATTTTTTAAATACAGTCGCTATGAAAAAGAAAAATACACATTTTGTGCTTTTTCCCCCCTTTTGAAAATTATTTAAAAAGTACACATGAAACTTCGCTGATTACTAGGGAAAGAATAATATATATATATGACTGTATAAATATTAAAAGTTTTAAGCAAATTAAAATTCAAAGTTTATTGACATTTCTGTTAGCTGTTCACTTACCAAAAAAACCCTATTTTCATTAATGTCAGTTTACTCTCAAGATACTTTTCTACTGTGTTAAACTATACTCAACATTTAGAGAAACGGTCAGAACAAAGAATGTAGTCTTTGGATTCAATTTTTTAAAAGGAGGCAAGGAACTGATAAAAGGTATAAGCAGTAATGCACAATTGACAAATTCATGTCAAGGCTAACTTAAACTATGCCAATTAATTAATAGGGGAAATATGCTTTCCACATGTTAAGTTGCTGAATACTTTTTAAAGCACTTGGCACAAAGACCTATGATAAAATTATATAATTTACTTTTACGAAAAGATATTTGGGCAAGTAGTTACAGTAACTAAAACATACTAGGGCAGATAATTACATTCCTTATTAAATAAATTAGAATTCCAACAAGCCTGAGCAAACCAGCCCTGAAATAACAGAGACCCTTAAAGAGAGAAGAAAAAAAAAAAATTGAAAGGAAAAAAGAACAAGAAAGCCCTTCAGCAAATACTTTAACAAATAAATCACTCATACAAAGCCAAACAAGTTTTGAAAGGACCTGCTATGACAGATGTTCTCAGGAAAAGCAAAGGCTTAAGGCAAAACGAATGATTTTTTTTTAAGTTACAAAATACTAGTAATGCTTCCATATTTTTAAATATTTTAATATTTCATAGAATGCTTTTTACAGCCATTGTTCAGTGACCTTCTCTAACTGCTACTACAAGACACACTGCAAGAGCACTCAGGCTTATTCACATTTGGACCAGCATGAAATGAACTACAAAACCAACACTGCTTCACAACTTAGGAAATAAAACTTGCTAAAAATTCTACAAAGCGTCACTTCATTTTCTAAAGTTGTTAAAAAGAACACAAACCACCATACTGCTTCACAGCACGGCCTACATACAATTCATACCATAAAAGTGAATATTCTCAATAAAGGTAACATTTAAAACACAAGAGTTTTTCCAGTTCTCTGTATAATTAAAAACTGATGACTACCTTTATTAAATTCAAAATTCAAGGAGTCTGGTTAAGGTTTGTTTACAGGTAATAAAATTCTAGAAAATGATCATGCAAAATTGTACTTACCAGTGCTCACTCTCTTCCCTTCACCTAACGTTTGATTTCTAGTTTCCACACTTCTAAACTTTCCACTTAAAATGCTGCAGCCTGTTACACTCCATAAAATGGCCGTGTTGTTTAACCAAGAAAAACATGTAAGAGATTGAGCTGTCACTTTTAAAAGAAAAGGAAAATAAGCAATTGCTCCTTTTATGGTGAAGCATAAAACACTTGGTCTGGCATATTTGGAATCATGGAGCGCCCCTGGACGTTACTAATGCTCTTCAAGTAGTTGTAGTAAAATTTCTGCCACATTCTTGCTTTCTGTATGGTGTCTCAGGAGAACAGACTAGCAAACAACTCCTTGCAAAATGTAAGCTGTAATTTCTTCTTCTGCAGTGAAATGAACCAAGTTTCTATGCAAAAGAATGAGTGACAGTATTTCCAGCCAATCAGCTTGGGTTTTTTCAGCAAAATCACCCCTTAATTCATTCAAAATTAGGTCATATGACACTATTTGCAATACTATTGGCTTAAAAGGTAAGTAATGCTTGACTCTACTCAGGATAAGGCCACCCATCTATGCTTCCCTAGTCTGAAGATACCTTGACTATGAACGGTACTGTGAATTAAGAACACTGACACACAGGGGGAGAAAAAAAGAGTGTAGCTTACCAGAGCTTCCCAACTATTAAAGGGCCGGAGTTCTGTTATCTTCTGAGCCTTTTTCTGAGAACACTGAGGAATCAAAGTAAGTTCACCAATTGAAGCATCTTGAAGGAAGTGAAGAATTTTACCTTTATAGCCATCCTCCATCACTTCTTCACCACTACTATAGTCCTCATCAAGTGAGCTACCGACATCAGAACCTGAATCATATTCGGAGTCTTCAATAACTCTCTTAGGATTAAACACATTTTTTTTACGTTTCTTGTTAAAACCATTTTGTGGTTTCACAGAAAATTTCTGTTTCAGTTTTGTTTTAGCTGTAATTTTAGAATAACTTTGACTCTTTGAAGAAACTTCTTTTCCATTTGGAACTTCATTTTGTGAAGCATAGTGGTTATCTGTGTATAAAGGGTGATAAAAAAGATAACAGCTACATGAATCAAATGTAAAGATCTAAAATTTCAAATAAGAAAAATATTCAAACATTTATATTTTCCTTCTAAATATAGAAGAATGTAACGATAATTTAATAGTCTTGGTGTATTTTAAAGGTAAGTATTAAAGAAATTTGGAGTTAGAAAACAAAAAGAATTTGTTCCAAAAGGTTAGAATATGTTCCTTAAAATGATTAAATATAAACTTCAATTTTCTAACAAAGGCTTAAAAACATAAATGGCAGGTGTTGCATAACCATGAGATGTCCCAGATGCTATGTAACAGCCCCATCTCTTAGGCCAAAACTGATGAGTATAGTAAAACTGCACTCATTCTACTGTGAAGCTTACTGGTCAAAATTACTTAACCATTTATATTTTATTTCCACTATTCTATCTTCATTTTTTAAATTATTTTACTATATTAGAACAAAAAGTACTAACTACTTATGACCAATGAATCAATCATATTTCTTTGAATTCTAACAACCACATGATTAAAGGCACACTATTACAGTATGTATCAGGAAGAAAACAAAAGATTAATATATAACACAATTTTTTTGTTAACTAGTAAAGGAGCTTCAATTATTATGATCAATTATTATCATTTAAATAATCTTATGTTTACATAATAGAAGTAAAAAAAAATTGAAGATGAGATTCTTCTAATTTCTTCACATTCTTAAGTTTGTTTTTCATTTAGAATTAGTGATACTGGTGGCTTTCTTTTATGTGCACAATGCCCCATTATGTGCTCTCTGTCCCATTAAGACCTTTGGAAGTACAGCATTTTTTTAAGCTGCACTGCAATTATGAAGCCTTAGTATATTTGATTCTTGCTGAGGGATGTCACCAAACATGTCATTAAATTCCTTTTAACCACCTCTCCACTAATGGAACTAGCTAACAATAAAATTTTGCATATCTATTGAAGTGCAGACTAAGTCACCTACATATAGTACAGTGAATGCAGACACCAATTACTCTAAGATCCATTCTAAGAGCTATTAAAATGTAAAATATACCTATTTTATACTTCATTAAACATGGTAGTTTAGAAATTGCCATAACTATCAAGAGTTAGGCAAACACAGATTTATTGTAAAGAAGAGGTCAAAACATTTGGAGATTGGTCATTCAAAAGAAAAAAAAATTTATTCCTACCAATGCCTAATGCAATTCCATTCTCTGATTACAGACATGTTTTGTCATTTTTCTATGGGAAGAAGTTATTATAAAGGTGTTAAAGAATTACCTTGGTCTTCTGCAAATACTTTCAAAGATTCTAAAGCTTCTGTGTACATCCATTCGTGCTCCTTGAGTACTTCTCTTAGTTCCTAGGAAAAAAAATTCATTGCCTTTTTAATGAGAAATTTTAATTAGAAAGAAGAAAAATTTAATGTCCTTTTAAAATATTTTAATATCTTGAAAATATATTCCACTTCATTATCTTACAGTTGTTTTTCACATGATTTGTGTGCATTTCACCTCTGTAAATATACCTTTGTAAATGTCAATGAGAAAGATAATAGATTATCTTTGCCTTTCTGACTCACTTTCTGCACTGCTTAACGCCCTAAAGGAGCAAGAAAATTTGCTAAATTGATAGTGAAGCTTCAACAAACTTAACCCCAAATCATTTAGTTTCAACACAGATAGAGAATGAGCAGAACAAGAGTCTGGATTTAATATACTAGAATTAGTAGATACACTATTTAAATACATATTATGTTAACAAGGGCTAATGTATTCTAGATACTAAGCCATGTGATTCAGTATGTACCTGCAATTCAATTGACAACCTTTCTGTGCAAGCTGACTTGGCACGAGTCTTTTTTTTTTTTTTTTTTAGCATGTGAATAGTTCATCTTTATTCCTCAGAGATGTTGGCAGATTCGAACCAGGGGAGGGGCTTAAGCTTTGTTTTTTTGTGTTTTTTTTTTCTATAATTATATTTTATTAATTTTCATAAACATTTACAGAGATTTTGGGCTTCCACTCATTCATTGTTGCACTATTCTCTCTACCCTCCTCCCAGTTTGTTCTTGTCCAAATTGGCACGAGTCTTTAGTGACACTAAAAATATTCTTACAAAGTAAGAATTATTATAAAATACTAAAACAATGAAAAACTGTATTGGATTCTAAAATTTTTATCATAAATTTAAAGAACATGAATATGAGAAAAACTAAAGGAGGTGGATTGATAGTTGTCAGTTTTATAGAACAACATCTACATAATTTATAACTGAATAAAAAATTATACTTGTTATGGTTATACTTAGAATACTAATACTATAACAAGAGAAGTACTGTAAACAAAAAAGACAAAAGTATTTTCTAATCGTAATAAAAAGAGAACACATTACTGGATATAGGTGAAACACACACTAAACGAAAGTAACCTTTTTTTTAAAAGTTGATCTCAGTCTTAACTGTACAATAAAAATTATTTCAACCAAGTTCTCTTTAAAGATTACTTACCTGTTTATCAAAATTTGGAAATTCCTTTTGTAATTTCAATACAATACTTTCTTGCTTTTCCCAATTATTGCTTGATCCTGCAGACTCATTTGATTCCTCTTCCTAATGTAAAGTGGGAAGGAGGAGAGAATAGAGCAATTTAAGAATTCATCAATAACAAGTCTTAATGTAATTAAATTACACTTGTAACCTATAGTATGACGTTGTTTGGAAAGTATTACCTTTTATATAAAAGAATTAAAAATTACTCATGCAAAAAATGTATTTATATCTTAAGAAATATTGCCAGTATTAAATTATTCAAAGACTTGACTGTATATCCAATAATGTAAACTTCATAGTGCTCAAAATTATTTATTATGTTCATTATCTTTTAAAAACATCTATTTTAGCATAATTTCATGTAACAGCATCTGTGAAAGTATCAGTTAAGGGGCTGTCATTAGCAATGGTTTCTAACTTCATACTGACCTTATTCACAATATAATGAAACCCTGACCAGTCTAGTCTTATGTCACATCATGTGACAGCTAAGGTTTTCACAGTTGTGATTCACAGGGTTTCCTTTTTTATGCATATAAACATATTTTAATACATTAATTAACAATTATTTGTTGATTTTTTTTTTCTCTAGGCCAAAGGGCTATAAAGCAGTGGGTCAGGAACTTGCTTTTTCCTCTTCTATTTTTTCACATATCTCTTTTTGTAGATAGCAAGGCCTGCCTTTTTAACCTTTCTCAGTCTATCATAAACTCAGTAGTTTCACTCCTATGTCATAAGGCAACTTTACACCAAAGAATCAAAACCAGATATTCAACAAACACTTATACATGCATATTCAAGGTGTTCTATTTATGGTAGCAAATAGGTAGATGTGAACCAAACATTCACTAACAGATGAAGAGATAAAACAAATTATGGTACAGAGACACATGGATTATTTGGCTATAAAAAGAAATGCTATATCATGCTATAGTGTTCATAAGCTTCCAAATCATCAAGCTAAGTCAAAGAAACAGGAAGTAGGTCACATATTTTATGAAATATTAAAATAATTAAACAGATAATGACTATTCAACAAAATGGGATTTTAGTGTATAATGATGAAATGTTTTGAAACTACACAGCAGTGATGGCTGCACAATGTTATAAAGTACTACTAACTGTCCACTAAAATGATTTTGTTATTTGAATTTCAACTTAAGAAAACTAACTATTTGTAAAACATATAACACAAATTAAATATTCAGTATATGGAATATTTTCTATTTGCCCATTCTGCTAATTGCTGGTGACCCAAACTGTCCAAAGCAGCACAGTGGTTTATAGAAAACTGATAATAAAAGGAATTTGGGTCCAAATCTCTTTCAAGAACCTAAGAATGAATCAACCCTATAGGATTTTCCAGTTACAAATGTACAGTTATAAGAGCCATATTTGGCACTACAGCTATCAGTGAAATGGAAATGGAACTGAATAAATTCAGGAGGCACAAATTAGTTAAATGTGAAGTGGATTAAACACCCACAGCACATACTCTTGTTTCACCAGAGCTCTTCAACAAACCTTTATTTCATAAAGGAAATCTTTATGATCAGGTGGAGGTAGAGGAAATTTTGCAAGAATGCAAGAACCAATTGAATATAAACTTCTGTGATAACACATTTTCACTTAAAAGAATAGCCCTGAAGAACAATTCACAACTTTGGGCAGAAGATTTGTTGATCAATCGACAGGAAGTCTGCGGAAGTAGTGGAACAGTGACATCTCAGGATGTGGAGATACAACATATAGATAATAGTTTCAAATGTAAATGTTCAGCAAAGAGCAGCTACTACAGAGGAGATGTAAAAGAATTATGTAGCTAGATAATCCACTCAGAGAAAATCTGTAAAACTTCAATGAGTGAGCCCATTATACAAAGTAGCATCACAAAAGGAGTAGGAGCTGTGCATATTGATCAACATAAAATTATTCCATATCGGGAATTATTTAGCTACGGAGCTCTGGTGGCCTAGTGGCAAGAAGCTGCACCGCAATCCCGAAGGCACGTGGTTCGAATCCACCAGATGCTCTGCTGGAGGAGGGCCAATCTCCTCCTGTGCCAGTCAGATCCAACTCATCAGTAAACAACAAGTGGAAGAATTATTTAGCTATCAGCATACTGAGTAAAAAACTTGCCAAGAACCAAGGCTGAGAATGAGTTCTCAACTGTCTGATTAAGTCAACTGTCACGTTCAATCAACTGAGTATACCAGATAATTTTTCATCTTGGAAGAGAGAGTAACAGACACTTTAAGTGTGGATTTGCTTTCTTCTCTACCTGCTTCCAGTAAATACCACCATATACAGATTTATGGAAAATTTTATTGATATAATTGTGAACTGTGAGTATATTGAGACATAACAATAGTTCTGACCTAGGAACTAATATCACATGAATGAAAGAACATCAGTGAACTCACACCAATGAAGTTCACCTATCTCATCATTTTGCCCCATTACCCAGAAAAAGATGGCTTAAAGAAATGAAATAGTTTACCAACAATTCAGTATGTAAGTTTTCCAATAACACCTGACTAAGCTGAAATTATTCAATGAGATATATATGAAGTGTACATGCTCTGTATCAGTAATCAATATATATATCTCACTTCTCCCATATCGTCCATGCACTGATCTAGAACCCAAAGTATAGGCCTAGTTCTTAATACTACAGTTGCCCTTTAGATCTAAAAATCTATTCACAAAATGTTCACTTCCATAAGTTTTACTTCCCAAGGAAAGAATGCTTCCAAGAAACAACAAACAAAACAGTAGAAAATGCAATGTGATGGTTATCTGGGGCTTCTTAGGCCACCACATCAAAGGCAACAAAAAAAAGTGACTGTGCTAGTTGTGGTAATGGCTTGATTTTGACGATCAAACCGTACTATTGTTAATAAAGTTTGCAGACACTATTTGTAAACAAATTACTCATGTCAGATACAAGAGCTATCTCTTTATAGCTCCATTAGTAAAGTAAGTTATAATGGAAATCTAAAATAATCCAATGAAAGCAGAATTGCTTTTCTTTTCGATACGGGGGTAAATATCAAGAGTAAACTAGAAGCCTTACAGTATTTGCTTCTGGGAAGGAGAAAATGGCAATGGAGTACAGCTGTTTTCTCTCTCTCTCTCTCTCTGTGTGTTTGTGTGTGTGAAATTCTCTTTAAAAATGTATTTTTTAAAAAAAACCAGAAACTACCATATCACAAAAAACCTTTGCAAGGTTAACTTTACATAAAAATTGCAGTTAATCATTTAATCCTGAATAAAATGAAGGGGGAGGGGGGGAAAAGTGAATAGGCAGCCATAAATTAAAAACAAACAAAAAATGCTTGAATTAAATGTGAAACAAACAAAAAAACCTGTTTGATTAAGTGGATTTTCATGTCTAATATCCAGATGCAACATATTTTTTACTTAAGCAACTAATTTTGATACTACAATTCAGATGTAACTTACATGATCCAACTTTTTCTTTTTTACAGATTGATCATCATTAAATTCATCCTCCTCATAGGCTTCTGATGAAGAAGATACTTTTCTTTTCCTGGGTCCACCACCTTTCAAGATAGGGAAATATTCAAATTTCATATGAAATCACAACAATCAATTACATGAGTGCAAAAAAAGGCAAAAATCTGTACTATACCAAAAAATTTGTAGATAATACTCTGGGCTGTACCCCTAGTATTCTTTCCTGTTCATATTATGAACACTCAAAACTGCAACCTGAAGTAAAATTTAGCAGAGAATCCCTCCAGTTTTTTTAAAAAAACAAATCTTAATATTGTATTAGTTCACTATATTATTAAAAATTTTACATCTCCTAATTAACAAGTAGGGAGCATTAGTGCTTAGTGATAAGTTATGCTGCAATATCAAAGGCACAGTTTGAACCCACCAGCTGCTCTGAGAGAGAAAAATGGACAATTTCCTCACATCAAATTTACTGCCTCTGAAAATCTGCTAAAAGGTCATCTATGGGTCAGTTCTGACTCCATGGTACATTACAGCAACTGTCAAATAATCCTACAGAAGATTATTGGGAAGTAAAGATGGGAAAGAGGTTCTCCTCAATGAATAGATATTTAGCAAGGAAAAAAGTTGAGCTCTGTATGTGCATACTACTTGAATAGTATCACCAACACCAAAATTTAATATACTACTATATACTTAATTTTGTATAAGTGTAATTTATACAAAGTATACGTTTTTATAAGAATAACTATTAAACACTTGGAAGTGTAATTTCATTTACTTTTCAAAATAAAATTACAAAGTATGTAATACCTTTTACAATTAAGGAAAGAACAGAAAGCTTAAACAGT